AATTTCTTTTGAATAATCTCGGAAATATTACATCTTAATCCGATATATCGTAGAATTTATCCAGTTGCTGGTATTTTATAGCGCAGTGAAGTTGAGAATTCTTCTTGGTATTGCTGAATGTAACAATTGGCATTTCCTCAGGTCTAAATGCGGGTTATTCATTTCACACCCATTATCTAAGATAAGATCTGATTTGTTATCAATATTTTGGAATATTTTGTAGTCATCAGCATATAAAAGGCAGCCAGTAAATAAACGATCTGGAATATCGTCAACAACCGATAGAAACAGAATGGGAACAAATTTGATCCCTGGGGAACACTGGACCTTGCAAAAAATTTCTCGGTTTCACTTTCCCTGAAATATACATGCTATTTTATGTTCATTAATTAGCCTGATAATGAATTACTGAAGGAATATACAAAAAGTTTACATCGTAGAATAGCATGGTCAACTTTGTTGCAAGGTTTGTGTATATCAAGCAAAATTGAAATAATCATTATATTGAAATGGAAATACTTCATCAATCTAATAGTATTTGCTTAACAGGGAGTAACAGAGTCCCTGACTTGCGGTGAAATTGTGATAGATATATGTATCATAATGACAGTCAGATAGATGTCATTCTCAACACAAAGATTTCTATCTCATTTATTCGATTTTGAATTGATTGACATGTTTCGGTGTACAATATATTACTCAGTCATGTTCATACGAAACCATTAAACGCAATGATTTAACGTACTTGAATAATAATTTGAGTAAATACCAAAAATCGCCAATACCATTAACTGTTATTACATTTTCAGCTTACATGATAATGAGCTAGCATAGACTCGAAACCTCTGTAATGCTAAATTATCGTTTTCTCGATTTCCACGTCGTTGAAAGTATATTCTGTATAATTGGTTGTGAAGAAAAGGTAATTAAAATCAATCGTGTTTTCAATTTTCATAAAAGAGATGTTTGCATCTCCACTCACAAGCGATTTTGGTGAAATTGGTGACACGTGTGAATCATTGCATTTGTGCCACGTGCCAGTATAAGGATGTCTGCAGAATGCTGTATAATGTTCGCTTTAGGTAGACCCACTGTGATTCGAAAATGTATATAGATTATAACGACAAGGAGTCACATTGTCTGCTGCATAATTGTTCATATCTAATCCATCTAGAGAAAATTCGATGGCAACATTTAACTTGCCTCTAAATCTTTCTGTTAGAAAAAATCTTTTAAAATGAATGACTAAAATACGGGGAAATTTATGGATCGATAGAGACTTTGCATTTTCTTCTTTCTTCGCAACTTGAACACGTTGGTTTTCCATGTCCATCCAAAGTTTCCTCTCTTGTGAAAAAATCCAAGCACTGTGATAAACTCAGTTGGCCAGTTCTTTGTGGTATGGGGAGTGACAAATCCCAGGAAGGTTCTAGGGTTACAGATAAGTGTCCACAACGTGTGTACTTCATCGTGGATTTTAATTTGTATGACATTTAAATGACACAAATGTTATAAGCGGTGTGTTAGAAATTATAATAAATGATTAAAGTAAAATGGACAATCCTGAAGTACTAATATATAATATGAGGTTCTATTGTAAAGATATAACACTTTTGTTCTTTCACACCTTTTTTACATTGATAAAAACTTTATTTTTTGTCAACAAAATCAAAAATAGAAAGTGTACAATCATTTGATTGAACATGTAATGAATAAATTTGCCTGGACTTACCTATGTATCAGTTAATTACCAGTTTCCACATCTGAAAAAATATTCAGTAACGGAAAGTTGATCAATTTTATTTGGTCATTCAGTAAATGACCCGAATTCTCAAATCTATTTATTTCTAAAGATTGAGTTTCAAACTTTTTTTTTCTAATTGTATGAAATATAGTTTGCAGATGTGGAATTGATCTTTCCATTCAAAAAACTACTTCTATGATATTTAACTCTTTGGAAAAAAGTTCTCCCCGTTTGGCCAATATAACGTTTTGGTGAAGAGCCACAAGTCAACTTATATACTCCTGATGTATCCCACAGTGAAGTTTTATCTTATTTTTTTTATACATTTTCTTAAGTTATTATTCGTTCTGTAAACCACGTCCAAGCATTTTTATTTTTAAAACTCCTTCACCTCTTTCTGGTACAGAGTTGTAGGATTATTCCTTAGAATATCGTAGCTTTATGAATTATTGATTAAGAGTTTTGCCTAAGTAGTCGTTTTTATCTAACGCAATAACCGTTCGACCTTTATCTGTTCTTGTTAAAAAATCACTTCATTATCATTAGTTCTTTTTTAACTGATTTTGCAATTTTCATTTCTCTATTAGACTGAATTCGATCAACAGGTTCTAATTTTAATATATTTGCAGCGACATTTTTATAATTAGAAGTGCCTATCAGAGCCAGATTTGTTTCAATACCTTAACATTCTATGCTTGCAGAATTAATATAAGGTTTTATGTTATAACCGAGGCTCTTTTCTAATAGTCTAGTTTCATTTAGGGCCGGTTTATCGATACGTAGTTAAATGCTNTAGATTTTAACTACGTCTCTGACCATTCTTATGGTAAAACTCCAAACATTAATGAGGAAGAAGTGTGAACTCCGTGTCGGTTAGATTTTCAAATCTATTCAAAAACTTATGGTTAGAATAGTTTTCCATAGACCCATTTACTTTTCTTGGGAGGTCAAGTTTATCATTTTGTATCAGAATTTCTTTATGAATTATGCCACTAACTTTTTTCCGAACATCCCTGTCCAGAGTTTGGAATTTTATACAGGATGTTTCAAATTCGATCCTTACCATTGGGATCTCAAAAACTATGAGAGATACGAATATGGTTAAATTGGGGTAAAGTTGCGCATTTACCTGACTAACAATATGCCGTTGAAAAAGTTCTGAAATTTATTTATTTATTTGGAATACAATACTCTACAGGACATAACCCAATTATAGAGCAGGAAATAACAGAGTATAATAAATACATCACAACCAAGTGACTATAAAGACTACACATTTTATATTTATTATAGGTGACAAAACAATTATTTTAGGAAGTGGGAATTTATATTTGACAATTTGCAACTAAATATATCTAAATTATCGCTAACAGAATTACACAATTGTCGAAGTCATCAAGCCGTAGGTGTCACTGGGTCCTAAAATTCTTAGTTTAGCCGCTTCCTTGGCTAAAGAGTCGGCAATGCGATTACCTTTACTCCTGTCGTGCCCTTTAACCCACCTCAGGATAAGTTATTAACTACCGAGGCTTTGGCTGAATCTTGGTGACACTCTAGTACTATCCCTGAGGTTACAGGTTGCCTGTTCAAGGCTAATACGGCTTGTCTGCTGTCAGTGCAGATTATGTTTTTGCAAGAAATTCCTTTCCTGGTTATTTTTTTTGTGGCGATTGAGATACCAGCCAGTTCTGTTTGGACCACGCTGGTATTTTTTCCCATTCCCCACTTAATCGTTAGGCTTAGTGATCTGAGTTTTTGAATCGTCTGTATATATGCGTATTGCATCTGACTCTGTGTTCTGTTTTATTTGTATTTTGTAGGGTTTATTAAACACAAACTTGGGTTCAATCGCATCACTGGTTGCCTGCAGCAGATGCTGCGCAGTAAGCGCTTCTCACCATAGGCCCAGCCTCAATTGACCCATTCCTACTTCGAGGTTCACACCAGCCATGCGCAATCGTACCATGGCAATTAACGCAACCTCCTTAACGTACAGGTCCAGAGGGGTCAGACCCGTAATTAATTCCATTGCCGCGGTTGGTGTTGTTCTCATGGCTCCTGTGATGTTTAAATAAGCTAGTCGCTGTATTTGATATAATTTTTGGATGGCCGTTGCTTGTAGAACTTTCGGTTCCCATGCAGTGGCTCCGTACGTTAACATAGGTCTCATTATTGCAGTGCAGATACAGGTGACCACACGGGGTGAAAGACCCCAAGCGTCCCACTGTCCTCTGACATTGCTCATAAGCCACATATGCTCTTTTTGCTCTACTCCATAGGTGAGAGTTCCATGTTAGCTTCTTGTCAAGGATAGTACCAAGATATTTCACCTCTTCAGAGAAGCTTAGTTCTGAGCCCGATAAACTTCTTTTCCTGCTGAAAAGGACCAAACCTCAGTCTTCTTGGGATTGATCGACAATGAGTGTTCCTTACACCATGGTTCTATTAATTTGAGCCCATCTTGTGCTCTATGGCACAGTGTGTTCACAAATTTGCCGGCCTGCAAGATAACTATGTCATCTGCATAAATATGCAATTGTGTAGAATCCATTATTGTTGAGGTGATCAATTAGGGTATCCAGAACTATGTTCCAGAAAAGGGGTGATAAGACCCCTCCCTGTAGACATCCCTTCATGACCAGTCCTCTCACTGTGATGTCTTCTACATTGATACTTGTTGCTCGACTAGAGAGCATCATGAGTATGATTTGGGACGATACCAATCCATATGAGATCCAAGAGCGTCCAAAGCATCCCGAAAAAGTCACTGTTTGTGGTGGATTTTGGGCTGGCGACGTCATCGGTCAATATTTCTTTAAGAACGACGTTCGATAGGTTATCACTATCAACGCCGAGCACTATAGGTCGATGATTACCAACTTCTTTTGGCCTGAGTTGGATGATCTGGACACCAACGACATGTGGTTTAACAGGACGGCGCTACGTGCCACACAGCTCATGCCACATTGGATATTCTGCACGAGCGATTTAAGAGCATGGTCATCTCACGTGGAGGTGATGTGAACTGGCCACCGAGACCATGAGATTTGACACTTTTAGACTTTTTTTTGGGAGGTTTTCTTAAGTCGCAGGTGCATGCGAATGTTTTACTTAAATTTAAAGGTAGGAAGCGCTTCTGTTCCTCATGTTGAAGTTTTCCTATTGTTTGACGTTTGAATTAACAAGCCTAGATGTCGCCCGCAGCGTATTACTCCTGAATTCTAGGGAAAAATATAATGGTGAATTTATTTTTCAGGACACGGTAAAACACACAGAGATGCAGCCAGCGTCCAAGCTACATACCCGATACCGGAAACTTGTGGGCTCTACTACTTCGAAGTCAAGATTGTCAGCAAAGGAAGAGATGGATACATGGGTATTGGCTTATCCACGCATGGTGTTAGCCTGAATAGATTACCAGGTAATTGAAATGAGTAGGTGAAATACTTATTCGTTACTTATAAAATTGGCGATTTGGTAAATTTATGGAATTTTTTCCGATCACTTCTCTAAACTTTTCGAAATGTTAGTGCATCAAGAAGTGCTATCTTTTAAACTCGACCGAACATGGTTGCATTAAAAGAAAATCAAAAATGGACAAACATTTATATGAGTCTGACACGTGTTTCAATCACCAGATTAAACAGTTTAATCTTCCTATGGCTTGATTTTCGATACAGAACCAGGTGATTAAGGTGATTAGAGGCCTGATTTTTCAAATTCCACTACTTACTACCTTTTACGACGAAATTTGTCTTTTTTTTTTCAAGGGCAACAGTAAAAAAGCGACACAATGATTTTGTGGTAAGCGACATAGGAATTAGAAATTTTAGATTCAGGTCTTAGACACTTTCGCCAATTTGCATTGGCATAAGAGCTGCAGAGATAAATGCACCTCTGCGGCTACTTGATGATAGACCGATGCACGACATTTTCTTTTGGATCATTGAAGACTTATCCAAGCACCTGACTTTTGCCTTCCTCGGTTGGAAACCAAGCATTGGTCCAATTAACTACATAGGAGAAACGCGGAAGAGATAAAGGTCCCCGACATCCCTTGTGTGCGAATCGGCGCACACAAGGGATATCGCGCGTACAGCTAAGCGAGAATCGTCGCTTAGCTGTACGAATGCAGAAGGCTGTCATTCGCCACGTCTAATCAAGTCATACGATTCACAGACCTAATGATCAATTACGACACTGTGTGGAAAGCGGTCATTGGAACGTCGTCCAAATGGGCCTGACTTGCAACCCCTTTCATGTTAAGATAGTATAGGGTCTTCCTACTTCCGAACTTTGACAATTGATAACGGCCATCTTGTTGAAGCTACATCTGTTAAATTAGTTGTTGTTTATTTACTATGTTTTGTCAAATCACCATGGACGGATATAGCATTCAACAACATGTGCTAATAATAAAATTGTTTTATAAAAATGGGTGTTCTGTTCGGGTAACGTACCGCGCGTTTCGCCTATTTTGCGGTCGCCATAATCGCCCTACCGAGAGGACTATTTGCAATGTGGTGAATAAATTTGAGTCCACTGGTTCAGTAAACGATCGAACAACACCCATACGTCGACGAAACGCAAGATCTGCCGGAAACATCGCCGCTGTCTGTGAGAGTGTGCAGGAAAATCCGAGGCAATCGATTTCGCGTCATTCACAAAAACTAGGTCTTTCGCAGGCCACAACTTGGTGAATTTTGCGTCGTCACTTCAGCCTGCACCTATACAAAATTCAATTGATTCAGGAACTGAAGGTAAACAACCATAGACAACGACCTGTGTTCGCTGAATGGGCTCTGGAACAGTTGGTAACTGACCCTAATTTTCATCTTCAGCGATGAGGCCATTGTCTGGATGAATGGTACATGTTGGCGACACTTGACATCTAATTCATGGTGAACTGTCAAATATAATGTCAGTTGTTACAAATACTCATCTATATTTATTTATTCTAACGCTCAAAAGTAACAGTGTACTCTAACTATGACAGATAATTTGATTTTTATTTAATAGCACAAATAGAATTTTTGACATTTGCTATTGAAATAGGGTAGGCAACTATGCAACAGCAAATGCCTCTTCTTTCACGAAATATGACTGTATCATTCAGCTTTGTGACGTCACTACTTGGAACACTGATCATCGGACATTCTATTCGTAGTAGAAAATAGTTTTGATAATAAATGGCTTGGAGAAGGTTGAAGGCTCATCGACTAATATTTCAAGGGAATCTCCTCTGGTGGATTAGTTTGCCAAGTCCGGTTAGACGGCTACCTTAAACTTCCCGAGAATGTTTTTCAAAACAGTGAATCACATCTAACATAGAAAGCCATTAATTTTTCTTACAAGAATTGTCACAATTTTTTATCAAAATTGGTGCACAATAATGCTGCTTTGAAAAAAATGTCATTAACTTATATTCTCTTCCTTCTTTTGCTCACTGTCTGACGTTACCACCCATCGAACTTTGCGATCATTGAAATCTAATAAAAAATATGAATAATTTCCAAGGAATGAAAATTTCCAGAACTGCTTTTATTTGTGACGTGGGTCAACGGACATTATCAATAATTATACTGATGCAATTTATGACTACAAAACAAAAGTAAACAACCAAGCATTTTATATCGGGTTCAATTTCTATTTTTTCGCAATGAAATACATCTCCATGAACTTGAATTCCAGTTTTTTGGTTGGGGGTGTTATGTACCTTTACCGCCATGTTGAAAATAAGGGTGTGATTATTTTTTCTTTTTTTTTGTCCTGAACTATAATGATTATGCTATGTCGATTCAAAGCTATCTTGATTGAAAGAATGCATTGAAATAAGAACTATTATTTGAAAAAGCCATTATCTGAAAAACTTTTTAGGTTAGGTATCGGGAACCCCAAAATGAAATGAAAGATAATTGAATTTTATATTGTTCAGCCGTACCTAGCATTTTCATAAAAAATCAATAACTTGAAAACTAACTCGAAAACGATTATAGTTATTGTTATTTGAAAATTGACAACTTTGATATGTCACACTTTTTGAGCCACTCTGTAGACTCAAAAATATTTTTTTTCAGCAGCCTTAATCAATACACATATAATGAAAAGGAGAAATTTCCCAAAAAATTACAGGGACCGTGTTGTATGGGATGCCCCACCCTGTATATATTACAGTTCAGAAGGACGCATCCCCAATTTCAAATATACGAGTTATGTTCATAAAACCCCCATTAGATATTATCTTAACCCCCTATTAGATTAACTTGTGCCAGCGCTTCTTCCAATCCTCGAAACACTTCTCAAACTCGATATTTGAGATAGCCTTCAGCTCTATCAGCGACGCGCTTTTAATGTCATCTATGCTTATTTAACGACTGCCCTTCAAGGTTCTCTATATTTTTGGAAATAGGAAAAAGTCACATGGAGTCATGTCTGGCGATTATGGGTGCTGAGGCATAGTTATAGTATTATTTTTGACAAAAATTCACGAACAAGCAATGAAGTGTGAACTTGTGCAATATCGTGGCGCAAAATCCATGAATTGTTGTTCCACACATAAAGTAATCCGCGTGAATTTATGATGCCATTATAATCGAAGAACTCGGTGAGCCATAACCTTCACGTTTGACCGCACTTTTGTCGAGCCTTTTTCAGACTTGGCGAGCCAGAATGCTTCCACTGGGACGTTCGAGCCTTAGTACCTTCTTTTGAATATTATTGATGGGTTTTCAAAAATATTAAACATAAAATTACTTATGTTACCTAATATCACTTGTATGAAATTTAACGAGCCGAATATGACCGATCACTGCGTGGGAACTCCCGAATGCAGTTTCGGTTTCGGTCGTAGTTTCGGCAGGTTTTCCGCCGAAACCGAAACTAAACCGAAACCCGTTTTTTTTGCCGAAACTCGACCGAAACCGAACTTTTGGTCGGACACTATTTATAATCATTTATTTCCTTTTTCCACGTTTTCAGCGGTAATCGATGTGTTGACCCGTTCGGGGCGTTCGTCATCTTCTACGTCTTCGCGGTCACATTGAAACGCTTATACCACTTGCAAACTTTTGTTTTACTCATCTCATAGCAGAATCACCATAGGCCTTTGTTTAACATTTCACACACTTTGTTACACTTTATTTAATTTTTTACGCAATATTCGATACAAATTCCTTGATCGATTTGGTAAACAAACAAAAACGGTGAGCTCTTAAAAACGCGTCTAACCTTGGCGGTCGCCACAAAGTAAACAATGAATCAAAAAATACAGCTGAAAATTTTATCATAGTTCAGGGGCATGTAAACCAACAATAATAAAATGACAATCGGACTGTCTAAACCTTGAAATATAAAAATTCTCGAACAACATACTTCGTATTTTTGTTCATAACTTTTTAATTATAAATGTTACAACAAAAATGTTTTGAAAAAGTTGTAGATGATATAGTTATGCACAAAAAGTGTTTCAGAAAATTCACATTGTACTTAAAGTTTAGGAGTTGAACTAAAGAAAAATAATCTTATTTTCGTAAAATCGTAACCGAGGTGACGTTTTATTAAAATTCTATATTTAATGTACTGTGAAATCTAATAAAAACTATGAATAATATCTGAACAATTACACTTTATAGAACTACTTTGTTTTGTCTGACGTAGGTCAACGGACATTATCAACTAGAAAATCAAACAATGATTTGTCGGAAACGATAAAATAGCGTAATCTTTCTCTTTTCAGGGTGGGACAAAAACTCGTATGGTTATCACGGGGACGATGGGCATTCGTTTTGTTCCTCCGGCACTGGACAGCCTTACGGACCGACGTTTACAACAGGAGATGTCATAGGTTGTGGATTGAATTTAATAGACAACACTTGCTTTTACACCAAAAACGGACATCATCTTGGTACTGCCTTCAGAGATCTACCTGTGAGTGAATATAAATATTCATACAGCTGGTAGAATATGTTTTTTATCGAAATAGTGTGTGGTTTTAGATCAAAATTTCGTGATGGTGCTGGAAAGAAGACTGAAAATTAAGGGTATATAGGGTATTGGAATTTATTTTACAAAAGGAGCAATAATAACTTCCTTGATATTTGAGAAGTGGTTTCAATCAATATATTGTTTGTAGAAAGAAGTAACTTGTTCAACGGAAAAATTCAGAAAAGTGATAATTTTGAAATTAAACCCTTTGTTTTGCCTTTAAATCGTTTAACTGTTATTGATATGTGTTTTTGGTTTCAATCAGGAGCACTATAATTTCTTAATTTATAACAAAAGTGCCAAAAACCGAACTAGTGCAAAAGGTACATTTGGGATTTCTTTATGTATTTGTGTTGATACTCATCCATGTTTCATGATGTATCACAGAAAGACACGACTCTTTCAATAGGTGATAAGAACTTGAAAAAAATATTCATGAAATCACAGAACCATTCCTTTGTTAATGACCACAACTATCAGTTACTAAATGTTCATTATCACGTGCAGCATTTTTCGTGATCTAACTCATGAATCTCACACTTTTTTACAGCCAAACTTATACCCCACAGTCGGTCTACAAACTCCAGGTGAAGTAGTAGACACCAATTTTGGACAGGAGCCATTTATTTTCGACATCGATGACATGATGAAGGAATTACGGACTCGTACGTTACTTGAAATTAACGAATTTCCTGTTCCCGGAAGTCACGGGGAATGGCAGGCCATATTAAACAAGTAAGTTTGCTTTGGGATTTGTCGGAATTTGAAACTTCAAAAGAATATTCGAGTTACACTTTCATATTTCACATGCACGTTGAACGTGACAGATTTCAATTGAAGACAACATCCAGGCTAGCAGGCCATGGTCGAATGGTGGCTGAAGTACCAAACGTTTCGTCAGCTAATGCGCAGACTGCGAAGATGAAGGTTATATCGTGCCCATACAACTGAAGATGTCTGCCGCAGTAGCAGACGAAAAGATTGGTACTCCAGGTTTTATTTGACAACGGCCTACCAGCACGGATTTTGTCCTCTTTAATCATGACTTGGACCAGGAAATCCTATGTTATTATAGTGGCAGATTCCAAACCAGTTATGTTCAAAATAAGAAATAAACTACATTAGTGGCGAATCAGTCTGTGTGACAGCGAAATCTTATGTGTTTTAGAGTGGTATCCACATACCTAGTACACCACGGTTTCTCTAATACAGCAGAAGCTTTTGCTCACGTAACCGAACAGTCAATCAATGAAGATATAGGATCTATGAAAAATCGTCAAAGTAAGTGATACGTCAGATATTTTCCTAGAAAAATTCTTGTGTGTACCTCCGAAAGGAAAGGATATTTCAATTTATTTTGTGTTAGAGCATGAGTAAACTTTATTACAAACTTGATATATTGTGGGACACATTTTTGAGGACGCGAGAAAGTAATTTCAGCTTCAATCAAAACTTTACAAAGATATGTAGGTCATGCACAGAAGTTTCTTTCAGATACAAACTGGAACAAAAAGTTCATCCGAAACAATTTATTTCGAAGAGATGAACAATGAGTCACATATTAATCACTTTTTATTATTCAGATGGTACTTCAAAGCTTTGTCTTGTAAAGTTATTCAGAATGGTGATGATGAGGTGAAGACCTTTATTATTATAATTTAGTTGTCCAAATGTGCTCTGCACTTTATTGATCAGTGTGTATTCAAATAATCTATTCAGTTACTATTTAAATTTCTTTTCTGTTATCATTCTTGTTTCTTGGGAATAATGAAAATTATTATTATTATTATTATGTGTGTTATTACCAATGTTTGGAGTACCAACTGAATAAAAAAAAGATATTTCCCTGTAGTTCCATAATCATACAGTTTATATTTGGATATTTTTGATATTTTTGGTGCATGATTACGGATCATTGTTAAGAGATTTTATTGAAGTTGATTACTTCATCGCTTCCTTCAGAAGTTTCCCATTTTTTTATGGTGAACATGAAAGACAAACAACTTTTTCCCAAAAACTAACCTCTCATAAAAAATATTCCCTTTTCAATTTATATCTTGTGCCTGTATAATTACGATGATATATCATATCAATTTCATAGATGTGTTTCAACAATTGCAAACAGCTCAAAATGTTTACACGACCTAACATTTCAATTGTTTTTCAGCAATTATAAAGTTAGTCTTAGCCGGTAGGATGGGCGAAGCAATAGAAAAGACCAGCCGTTTGTACCCTGGCCTCTTAGAAAATAATCAAGATTTGCTGTTCATGCTCAAGTGTCGTCAGTTTGTCGAGATGGTCAATGGTTCAGATATAGAAATCAGCCACAAGAAACCCGTAGGAAATTTCAATGCCTCTCCTAGACCAAGTAGCCCTATCCAGATGTCTGTGATACAGTCCACGAAAAACTTGAAAGGCAAACAGACGGTTAGTGAAAAAAATCTATTTTGTTGGAACTTTTTTGGGAACACCTGAGGAGGTATCAGTAATAAGAATAACAAATAGACTTGCGATGACAGTAATGTTCCGTCTTTGCATAGGTTGAAAATAAATGAGTAAGAGGTATGCTTTTTTCAATTTAACAAGTTTATTCATTATCACAAATAACAATATACTTCAGTCTCAATGAATTTGATTATTGAATGTGATAAATTGATTAAAATATGAAGGTAACTGTCCTTTCAACATTTTATAAATAAAAATCATTGAAAAATAATATAATAGGGTTTTTAATGGATTCCAGTTCAGTACAACTGACATTGTATCAATAGGAATGGACTTCTTGCATTTGAGAATGATTCGCATTGCTCTATTTTGCAATTTTTGTTATGCAGTGATACCGTTAGAATCTAGTAATGGCAGTAAACTTGGACAATATGCAAAGTGAGGTTGGATTATAGTTTTATAGACCATTATAGATGTAGAGAACGGTAATTGTTGGCATATTCGTGAAAGAAAAAATATTTACTTATTTTGCTTGTTCTACTCAAAGAATGTAAACTTTCACGACCGGAAATAACTGTGTAGAAGCTATTTTCCGGGTTTCTTGGCCATGATCTATAGGTTTTGCGTTTCGTCTACTGCGGTAGACATTGTCAAAGGCGATGTGGTAACGGTCGTAGTGCCCGAGTTGGTGTTCCCGCTGTTGTTCTCGTCGTTTCGACCGTATTTATGATGCTCGTATTTGACTATGGTTTTATATTATTATTACTGGGCTTGGCTTGGTTTCTCTTAATTGGATTACCTGACCTTATTTGTGTACCTATAAGGACAGGTAGCCAGATTTTATTGATGTTCATTGCCTTTTCTTTTCTATTGAAATTATCCCTGTGTTTTTGAATTTCTATTGCTTCTCTATATACTCTTGAATAGTAATTTTGAGTTTTATCAAGTATTACTGTATCTTCCAATGGGATAAGGTGAGTGCCTTTCATGTTGAGAGCATTACCCTCTATTTTTTTGTGGCTACAAAAACTTGAGATTCTCCCTAAGGAACTCAATCACCTGAAAAATGATTTCAAAAAGAATTGCTACAGCGAAAGAGAATTCTGGCGGGTCATACAACCCATAACTATTTATTAATATAATATAACCTCTTCAGATGTAAAAGGATCGTATTATAAGACTTGTGTAATCATTCACAGAATATTGGCTCTTCATTAAACTTGTAAACCATGATAAGCATCGAAAAATATATAGAGAGGGTAGTGTCATGATTTTGTTCATCTGAAATTAGACCTTGACATCTGCTCGGAACTCTAGGCCATTTATTTTGATGGCCTTTTTTCGAAGGCCAAATAGTTTGGAACAGTGTGGTGAATGCCCCCAAACAAGGATTCTATTTGGTTATTGGGAGTGTAGGAGGCTAAAACAGGCTAACCAGTGAACAATAAAGGGCTTTAATGGCAGTTGAGTCAGTAAACTCGTGGGTTAGCCGTTTGATAAACCCTAGCAATTTCATGGCTTTATGGATAGCAGTGGGTATATGTAGATTGAAGCTCAAGGTGGGATCAAGAACAACCCCAAGGTCTTTTATTTGATTACCAGACTCCAAGACATAACCATTTAAGGTGTAATCAAAAGTGATAGAAGATACATGGGATCCATGAAAGCTCATGACATGGCACTTGTTTGATTTATTTTGATTGTAATTTTTATGTTACTATAAGGCATTTTACTATCTAACCACATTCTTGAATCGTGAAAAATCTTTTTGATCAGAAGCACAAATAAGTATACACCTATAAAAAAATATATCTGTCATGTTAGGTAGAGGAAATGAATCGTACCAACACTGCTCGAAACGGTACCAATTGCACCTCTGACATGCCCATTATCGTTTCCGACGACTGCGATGTAGAAATGGACACCGACGAGGTTCAAAATGGCCACGGGGATTCCTGTATAAACGGCAAGAGTACTTCGACGAACAATGGATACCAGAACGGGAATAGCAATAATCACGGCGATTGTGATACGAGTAGCACGCGACTGGAGTCTTCCAGCTGTGAAATCGACGAAGAAGATATGGGTGAGTAAAAGAATTTTGTTATTCACAGGCCCACATTAAGGCCTATTCATGCTCTAGGCCAAACTTCAAAATTATACTCCTATGAAGACAAAAATATAAAAATTTGTTGATGACAGTTACACAATGAACAGCAATTGGACAAGAGTACAATTATTTAGAAAAAGTCAATTAAATTGCATAAAATAATATTATCCGAACATTCAAATGTTCGCCTGATGATCTTCCCGTGACCAAAGGCATCTTGCAAAATAAATTTGACAAAAAATAGGTGTAATCATTGATACTATGCTAAAATTTGATGATCACATTAGACTTATCAAGGTTAAGATATCCTCTTGATGTTATGCGGTGAAAGTAGTTTTCTGAAGAGCTGGATTTCAGTTTTGCGAAATCTATCTACTATGCATAGACTGATTCCCAGTTTCGATATGGACTATCATTTTGGGAATCATCTAGTCTAACCCCTCTATCTTCTGTATTTGTATTACAAAAGTGATCTGTAAGATACAACTGTAAAGTTAACCCCAGAAATTCACGCAGAGAACTCTTCACTTCCAACAAAATATCAACTGTCATTGCACCATTTCAAAGATGGTTTGCTTAGTGAACAAACATAATTCAATTTAGTTACCACTCCTTATCCCATTCAAAACAGCAAGTTTAGTTATAGACTCAGTGTTTTATAGAGGTCTTAAAATTTACAACCTTCTGCCAGTCGACATAAGGTCTGCAAACTTGTCTAAAGAGTTATTCAGAAGAACTGTAAAAGAATTTCTCATCGATAGGCTCTTTTATAGTCTAACAGGAATATTTAAACGAATCTTTTCAGAATAAATTTTTAAATTAGCTTCATTTGCATATATTATGGGTATATTCAATTTTTTAAGAAAAAGGTTGAAATGATAAGTTTAAAATGCGTTGTTTTAAAGCTCTTTTATGAAAACTACTTTATTTTCGTCAGGAGGAACATTCCCCTTTGGACATACAACACATACTCATTTACTTGCAGTTTAATTACCAATATTTGGACGTTTTTCACCATCTGCAGGGTTACAATAAAAGTAAATATGAAAATATAATTTCATGTACTCTTCCAGATAAACTTTTGAAAATGTCCTTTATGCATACTTACCCAGAGTGTATATGTGAGAATGCTATACAAGTAAAATGAGACATTTTTTGGCAAAAATCATTCAAATGTGTACTTGGATTAAAATGAGGTCAATAAATACCACAGGACAGGAACAGATAAAATCGCACATTAACATAAATAATCATTTTCTCTTTCTGTCACCAGTACTTTTCATCATTTTTATTATATTCTGAATATTGACTTCATATTTCATTAATAAGATATTTATTTATAATTGAAGCATATATTTTAATTATTCTATACTGCTTTGTATTTTGACTAATTTAACAAGTTTTTTCTGCATCTGAATATGTCAAAAATTTGTCTTGAAATCATGTAGAGGTGAGAATTTGAAGTAAAACTTCGTAATATAGGCATGAAGTCTATAATATCCAAACTTAACTTGAACTCTAAAAAAATCAAAACTGATGGAACATAGTACCATGAACTTTACTCATGGTACTCATTTGTCAAATATTTTCCGCTGTTGCAAAACCTTTTTTCTTGATGTTTTTTAGATCTACATATCTTTAAAATTTTCAACTTTTTACCAGATACTAATAGGTCGTTTCAAAAGTTAGAATCCAGTGAAAGATTAGAAAGGATTCACAAAAGAACAACAGGGATTTCCTTTATTTGAAAGCACAATCTTATCTCCCTAAATGACTATATCACTAATGATAAAAGTTATATGTTTGTTATCCTTTTTAAGAACCTGATGACAGGTCAATAAACAACTTCAGATAATGACATTGATATGTATTCATTCAGATAACTTCGGTTATGTAGAAATAACATCATATCAACTACAACAACATAAAATTAGTAAATAACTATAAAAACTTATAAAAAGACAATGTATCTCGTGAGTCACATTAAATGAGCAATATTATCAGTGTGAATAGAGTGCACTGTAAATAAATTAATGTTATAATTTGGACGATGAGAAAAAAGGAATATAATCATGGTTTCAATTGCAAAAATGTTTGAATTGTTTGCTACATATTCTACATGCCTATATGGTTATTTTCGCTCAAATGCCAATAAAATTCTACTATTTATTTATGATTCATCTATGAATCCTGAAGTTTGGCCTTTTGGTGCATGTATTAGCCGTTTTTTATGGAAACGCCAGGTGAATGCAGCAATGACATAAATTTTAATCCAAATTTTATTTTACTCAACGTAAATACATTGAATAATGACAAAATCAATTCATTATATAGTGATATAATCTGTAACTTCAAAAGTTTGTATTTTTTGTGCTTGGTTGAAATCGGAATTGAATCAGACCATCTGCACTCGTTGCATATTGAGGGTTACCGGGTAGTAAGCTCCTATTGTAGATCAACTTTGAAATGTGGAGGGGTTAGTATATGGGCCCGTAATGATTTACAGATGAATTTCATAGATTTATCCAAATTTTGCATTGANGAGTTGTAACTCTCAGTTACACACCACCCCCAAATTTCGTTTTTCTATTTCCAGTAATAAAAAAGTTATAGGGGTGAGCCACCGTAGAGAATCACCTGGTATGATTGTGAGAAATAAATAAATTCATTCAGACGTACCAATTTTGATATCTTCTTAAGATGTTATTGGCACAAACTTGACTGTTCTAAGTAACAATTTCATATATTGACACCAATCTTAATAAAATAACAAGTGATTATGTCAATGTGGAGCGGCTATAAATCTTTATCCAGAAACCAAATCCCACTCATCTGCTAAGAATATTTCATTCTCCCTAAAAACCGCACATAAAAAAGTAATAAAACATTCTTAATAGAACTGAAAGCAGTAACAAATTTTCGAAACAGGCGTAGATACGGGTAATATATACAAATAATATAAATGACTAAATAGTGTAACTTGCTGATTATAAAATACTTCAATATGCATGTTACATTGTCCCTACTATAAACATAGGATTGGGATTAATGAAATTTATTATCATTTATTTTACCTAATTAATTATTTCCAAATGTAAATTAATTGATGTATAATTGAAAAAAAATTACAATATTTTGTTATATTTCAAATTTCAACCAAATCTGTGTAAGGATTATTTATGATATTTTAAAAATACCGTTTTTTGTTTGAACTTCAACGCTCTGTATCTCAGAAACAAAGCATTTCCGGACATATGTTCATAGAAACTTTTTTCTTAAAAGACCTAACGAATCACCATCTGAAGTTTCTTACCGTATGTAAGAAACCCAGGTCAGGTCCTATCCTATACATTCGGGAGGGCGCGCCAGCATTATCAACCACCAACTACACCCCACACCGTGGGGTGAGTGATCATTGGGTCCGAGAATCATGTGCCGTGAGCCAAGAATGATAGCTTTCTACATCTGTCCGGGTAAGATTTCTGCCTTAGTGCAGCAGGCCAGTATGATTTTAAGATTTGAGAGTAGAGAGGCCATCATCCCACTAAAGACTCCAATAATCAGAACAACCATCTTGACAGAGTGGTCTAGACAGAGTCTGAGGAGTTTGAAGAGAAAATATCGATATTTTATCCATTTCTCCTCCTCTTTTTGGACGATATTCGTCTCGCCAGGAGCTGAAAACTCCACAACAAATATCGTCTTGCTCTGGTGGTCGAGAAGGACTACATCGGGCTTATTAGGTTGTATGAGCCTGAGGGTGTGGCGGGGAACGAATAGTTCCAATAAATTCGGCACTTCTCGTTCCCCACAACGGATTCAATATCCTCCAGAGCGTAGGGCAACACCGGTGTCTCGTCAATACCGTAAGAGTGCCGTAGATGGTAATATAGTACTCTTAGGGCTGCGTTATGTCGGTGGATATAGGCCGAGACTGCATATGCTGGACATGTTGATAGCAAGTGCATCAAGGTCTCGGACGCCTCGCGGCAGGTCCTGCATATTATTATTATTATTATATTAGTGTCATGAAATCTTAATAGTTTACCAAAATGAAAAATATTCCTATCCACCATCAACTCCATCAAATTAATCGAGGATATTTTCATATTTTTTTTGCTTTACCCAGAGAAAATGTTCAATCTCTACTAGGCCAATAATGCCATCTGAGATGATGGTGACATATCAAACTTTCGAGAGGAATAATAATTCATTAGAAAATCAGGAAGTGCATGGAGAATGATTAGTTCAAATAGTAAATCAAATTGTAGATTGAGTTTGTGGTTCTCATAGGCATTCTCCAATGTATGCTTTGATTATTATCGAATTAATAAAATATCTATTTTGAAATTATTTTAGTGGATATCTACTCATTATGAATGTCATTGTCATTTGTTTCTTGTATTTGGATACGAATGCGTTAGAAGAAGTTGAGAAGCAATTTTTTCATTCATAAACCTGTGTTATCTAATTATTTCTTCCATTTTTGATGATTGGAGACTATCATTATTATTACATTCAAAAATATATTAGTATTGACAGAGTCCAAAACAAATTTCTTCGCTAAATTACGAATAGCGATTACAGTCCCATTATGGGCCAATACAATATTACGCCTGTGAAGGATAGAATAACTGTTACGGATCTTATCACGATTTTCAAGGTGATGAAAGGATTAGTCCACTGCCCAGAGCTTTATTCCAAAATCGAGTTCAATGTTCAGGGTAGAACGTTGAGGCGTACAGAATTCTTTAAGTTAACTTGCACAAGGACAATTGCTGCTCAAAATTCACCACTTTATAGAATGCTTAAAACCTTTAACGAAATTTGCAATGATATTCAATATTTCGAATTCTCTTTAGACTGTTTCAAACGTAGGACGAAAAAAAATTTAATTGATAAGTTGTGGTCATTTCTGTAGTCTCTGTCACTCTTATAAGAATTATGTTATTCTTCGAATGTCCAATGTAACTTACAAGAAATAAAAATTTACATTCTTTTTTCTCAAAGCCCACTTGAACTAAAATTATAAAGTGGGTTCTCTATTGGATTTGGTAATCTGTTTGTAACCCCTATATTGGTATCACATTAGAATCTGAAACATTAATTGATTATGTTATATCAAATCAAAATGATATTTTAACCAACGTTCACTTATCCCCCAATATCACAGATCATATGGTTATATCAGTCAACTTCCTATTAAAGCCATTGAAACAAAACAATATTACAAAAAAATATAGAAATTTTTGTGAGGGTAATCTTGATAAAATAAATACTAATTTGATTTCATGCGAATGGGCATTGAGTTCAGTAGATGTAAATTTTATTTATCAAGAAATCATTGATACTTGTTTTGCAGTTATAAACAATATAGCACCATTAAGAATATGTCAATTTAAAAATAGTGTACCATGGTTTGATAAATCATTTATTGAATCTTCACCAACTGAAAAAGTACTCAAATGGGATAGCTTTAAAATACTCAGATATGAAGTTGTGAACATGTTAAAAAGGAAAAAAGAAAAGTACTACTGGAATAAAATTGACAGATATGGAAACAATTCTCACAGTGGAAAACATTTGTAAAAAGTAGTAATGAAAATTCATTCAGTCAGGTACAATTTGATTATAATGGAGACTCATATATTTTCAAGGAAGAGACATCCTTAGTTGAACATTTCAACAATAATTTTGTTGATAGTATTAACCAGATAATCGAGAGCATTCAAAGTGATGAAGTGTGGTATAATTGCGATTCAAACCTTTACTTGCCTATAACTGAATTCAAAATGGTTTCATTAGGAGAAATACGTGATATTATTGCTTATTTAGACAATAAATGTAATACATATGGAATCCTAAATGCCAAAATTGTTAAACAGATTTTTGAAACTGCTGGACATGCTATATTGAATCTTATCAACACTTCGCTTCAGACTGGAAAGATCCCAGATCTGCTCAAAATTAGTACTATTATATTCCTAAGGTAAATAAAACTATCAAAGCTGAGGAATTTAGGCCTATTAATACGTTGCCGTCCATTGAGAAAGTACTTGAGTATGCTGTTTACGATTAACTTGACAACAATTAACAAAACTTTGTGAATGAAAATGAGATTCTGTTTGATAATCAGTCAGGGTTTTGAAAAAAGTACTCTTGTGAGTCGGCATTACAGAGGTTACTTAACTATTTGATAAACAAATTAGATAACAAGTTTGTAGTAATAACTATTTTCAAGGCAGAAAACAAAGAGTAAGAATCAATGGTACAATTTCGAATGAAATATTAAACGATAAAGGGGTACCCCAGGGAAGTATTTTGGGCCCCTTACTATTCATTATATATTTAAATGATATTAATGTACATGTCGATTGTGAATTTATCAACCTGTTTGCAGACGATACTCTATTAGCTTGTAGTGATATAAGCCTGGATGCTGCTGTACATTTGAAGAACATTTTCAATACATACATAAGAAAATTTCGAAAAAACTATATTTTTACTCTAGAATTTCAAAGCATCTGTCTTTAAACACAAAGGTATTAGTCTATAAAACAATTATACAACCACACTTTGATTATTCTGCTTCGATTTTATACTCTTTCAATGAGCCTTTTTCTTGAGAATAGTACAGCAAACGTGTCACGAGAGGCAGCACTAGTAGTAGGGACAAACAATAAACTATTCACATGTAAAAGTGTTATTTACGTAATATTTTATTATTTAAAAATATAATTTATTTCATTACCATCTATATTTGATTCATGTTTCACTCGAAAATTAATCTGAAAATCATAATTATTTTAAATTTCTTTTATTACAGTTTGAATCTACCGCTACTACTTTACCTGTATACCTGTCTATTAATTCACTTTTTTCCAGTTACTTTTAAATTACGGCAAGCAAGCCAACGTTTTAATGTTACAACATTGTTATCCTTTACAGTTGCAAATTTTAGTTTTGCTCGAGGAACATCTTCTTCTGTTAAAAACATTCTTTTTTAATTGTACTTTACCATATGTTCATATGAGGATTAGGCAGTGTTTGTCCCTACCGAACCACTAGCGCTGCTAGTGGGTGATTTTTCGTACTTCAGGAAAAAGGGGTTCATTTGACAAACAGGCACAACTTCAAAAACTACAAAATAGAGGAATGAGAATTATATTGAGAGGAAACCGATATACTCCCATAATTACAATGTTAACAACCCTAAATTGGCTTTCTGTATCCCAGAGACTTTTATACCAGACAATGATACTTGTGCATAAAATTGTTAATGATTTAACTGGAACATATCTTAAAAAATCTAATTTTTTTATTTTATTTATATTGTTCTGCATTCAAATCAATAGTAACTAATGAACTATTTCCTTCCCAGAATCAAGTAATAAACCACGGAAGCCTCCGCTAGAAGTGGCGATGGTCCATGCCCATGAATTAGTGAGGTTTATGTCGTTAGCTGAAGTCAGCTCGTGTGCCTTCGCTTCTGTCGAGGAGGTGCTCGAATAGTGACCTCTCTTCGATATTTATCCATCCCTTCAGATGCACTGAGTGCCGTACAACTGTTTCGAACCGTGCCAACCAACAATCGACAGTTGTTAGAGGTCCGTTTCTTACAAGAGGAACAAGTACTTACTCCATTTTGTAAATTTTAATTGTTCGTACTCGTGGGTGGAAAGGTACGGTTTTTGGCAAGAGGATGGCGATTTGTTTGGCAGTTGAAAAATATATTTTTCTTAGAGAGACAATAAATCAGAAGCCGAAAATGCTGATTTGACTGGACTGTTGATTAAAGAATTTTTTGCAGGTTTTTGTTTTGTGAGTAATGCAATATATTTTCTTTTTAAATTCCTGGAAGTAAATTAAATTACTAAATGACCAGAAATAATACTGCGTTTGGATAAAGTTTAGAAAGGGATTTATCCGAGTTCAAAAAGAAAAAATATTTGAGTTTTAAATTCTCGAATCTTTCTATAAAACACCTAAAAATTGCACACAATTGTATAAACGTCAATTCAAGATATTTTGAAATTGAATGACTTTTTTGCATACACAGTAGACTGGATGTTGAGAATTTTACTTGGTTTAAAATTTTCCTTGGCTTTCTTGTTCACGAGAGGTATTCATGTTTGATTGAAGTTGATGATGCCATATTCTTATTTCCATTCAAGATAACACAAGTAGTTTCATTCAGTTTTCTTCTCGTTTCATTAGATTCTATCAGAAATTTGGCATTATACCAATTCATGATATGTATTGATGGTGTTCGCCTTTTTTATTCTGAAGGGTCCTAAAAAGTTGATCAACAGAATAATATCAAAAAGTGTCCAAATTAGCAGAGCATATTTTAACAAGAGATGGCACATGTAGGGACAGTGTCAAAACTCAGATGATAGAACCCGATGAAGAGAAAACCTAAAGAAATGACTTGATGGAGTTGTTCTATGGTATCGAAATGAAGTGGATTTAGTGAAATAAATTTATTTTCCCAACAGATATAAGACGACAGGACACTGTATCATTTGAGATTTCAGTTAATGAATCTTTTCGCTGATATAAAAAGGAGCATTTTTGTCAGGTCCTAGTTATTGTAAGGGGTACTGCTGAATGAGTTTCAAGATATACAGGGTACAGCAAACAAACATAAAACTCTTATAACGTAATCAGGATGATGTTTTGTTACATATTTTAGTTTTTTGAAGTATATGGGCACCATTTTTTAATGAGTCATGCTATTGACAAGTGTCAACAACCCATCTAAATTTTATTCAAATGCAGTAACATTTCTAATCAAACGTGGTAATTTATGCCAGGTATAACTCGTGTACCTTCCTAAGAACATTATTCTGACAAAAATTTGGGGTATTCTATAAAATTTTTCAAATTATTTCCAAATTTGTAATAGTATAAACTCAAATCAGTTTAACAAAATTATAACTTGTAAAAATAAATTTGAAATTTATGGCCAAAAAAATTACTAAGATTGTTCATAAAAATTTAATGGCAAAACTAACTGTATCGCTATTTTATATATCTGTCTCAAAAGAAAATGAGGAAATTTTGCCTCACTTGCCGGTGAGTGTATCTTTTAGGTTAGAAGTTAGTATTTTGGAAGTTCTTGTCACTTTTTAAAGCATAGCATATATTCAAGTGGATGGCCTTTCTAGGAAAAATCAGTTTATCTGAATTCTGGAGACTTTGAGTTTTTTGAAAGTGTTCGTTTCAATCCTTTTTTTGGGTTTTTAATAAGTTCATTTTGTTATTCACTGTTTATTATATTCAGAGAATCGAATCATAGGCTGATATATAAATCCGCCATAAATAATATTAATTGTTTCGCCTCTAAATTGCTTAAAAAACATCAGTCAAAAGTTTGGTTATTCTAAAAGTAATAGATATAGGCTATGTCTTAGTCATAGATGATTAGCTCACCGACTCTATCTGGGCTACTACGTCAATCGTAGGTTTTTGACTCTTCATAATCCTCGAGTTATATAAAATATACATGTCTTTCGCAATCATTCCTGACATGAACAAGTCATCTGCATTGATATTCGGTCAGCCTCTGCTTCTAAGCGCCGTAAATAGGAGAACTTTCACATCTTCAAATGATAAAATTTCATAAATATTACATTTAGTATGCACAAAATGGAATCTCCACTCCCTCATCGAACAGGCTTATTTCAGCCTCCCTTTGCAACAGAACGTAAAAGTTTCTCTAATAAGTAACATAATTCAAAATGCTGATTAGTTAGATTCTAGTACCTCTCGGTTAATTTTTCATTTTACTGTACTATCTTTGTAGATATCATACAGGTAATGTTAATAATATACTATTCATTTTCAAAATGCTTGGAAACATTTTGGAGAAATCTGATTTTAATTTTTATAGAAACATTCAAATTGAGAATTCAAGAGTTTATTGAACTTTTTTGAAGTATATTGTCGAAGGTGAGCTGCTCCAATATTTGTAATCAGAAACACAAGTTGTCATTAAACTTGTATTACATGTTTACAAGAAAAACGGAAAATTCTTTGAAAATTATTATTCAAATTAGTATTTCTTTTTACTTTTAACCATTTTAAATGTTAATTTTTATATTTAGGGATATTCTGGATTTCATGATTGAAGAGGTTCATTTATTTAATCTGGTAGAGGTATGTAGAAGAAAACACATGCTCAATGGAAAGAGGAAATGATAAAAGAGCCAATAACAGTTATAGAGAAAAGAACAAAAGCTAGAACACAAGTCAATACCAAGAGTAGGTAATTATTCAAGGTGGTAGAGGAATGTAGGAGAATACATTTGCTCAAAGGAAAAGAAGAGACAAAAAGCCAATAACAGATAGAGACAAAAGCTAAAAGACAGTTCAATACAAAGAGTGGGTAAATAAGGAAAATTCAGAAAAAGATTGACAAAAACTGACATATTAATTAATCAAAGTAGGAAGTGCAAAAGAGGCTGAGAAAGATTTTACTACTTGAAAGTATTACATATCTCTAACAAGAAATATAAAGAAGCTAGTATAGTTTGTAAAGATTATTGGTACGTCTTGCATCAGAAAATTGAAAATAACCCATACCAAAAGTAAATTAACTCAACTATTGGTAAAGAACAAATACAAATACACAATTATTGTGTATTCATTATTATAATGAAAAATAAACAACAAAGAATAATACTGTTTGAATTCTTCATTTAGGGTTGATGCGGTAACATTTGAAAAATATTTCTATTTTGAGAAATGAAAAAAATCATGAAAATCAAATTTTTCCTAAACCTAAATTCAGAAAGAGAGGTCTCCAGTAGTACTCCTGAAAGGTCCATCACTGAAGTTGTGTTATCTTAATGGTTGTTTTCTGAAGATTCAATAATATAGTGGAGTTGCACTCAAAATAAAGGTTTATGAATGTTTGATAGTGGCTTGCAGTTGCGATTTTATCAGTTGTAGTAGTCTCCAACTATCTATGACTAAGGAAAAAATATTGTGACAACTTACGTACTTCATTTGGGGGAGAAGGATTGTTGAAGAAGGAAAAGGTCTATTTTATTTTTATAACAATTTTTTATAATCGAAAAAATTCTACAATCGATCTTGTTCGTAGTTCTGGCGAATGTCGAAAAAATTAATCATTCAGGCGAATTGTTTTCGATCGAGATACTCCTGTAGCATTTTTAGTTTTTAGATATCATGGTTGTAAGTACATTATCCGAAATAGCCTCTTGTACTCCCAATGGTTTGAGCATTGTGATAACACTTACGCGGAGAGGAAGTCAAGTGTTCTATTTTGTTGAATATTTGTTATTTATGTTTTATGCCGTTTTTTTATTGTAGATCTTGATGCATGAACTCATATAAATAACAAACATATCGGATTTAGTTGATGTACAATTTCGTTTTTAATTTGGGCGTTCATAACAAATTCATTGAGAAAATAATTATTTGAGGTGTTTTTATTATTTGATGTAGACCTACAAATTTTTTAGTATAGTCCATTTGTAAATAAGTTATATACATATGTTATGATTTATTCAATAAAATACTAATGATTGTATCCTGTTTTTTATTTATTTAGATTTTTGGTAAAATTAGTATAGAGTATAGGTGTGTTGTCATTTTTATTATGTTTTTGAAAAATCAATTTTCTTGTGCCTAGGCGGAATCTGTTTTAAAAAAATAGCTGTAAGGTTCTAAATGTTGAAAATGGGTAAAGTTTCTCATCTGTTTTTTATGCATCGACCTTTATTGATTAGTATACCGAGGTCCTCATAGTGGACCCGAATTTTTTTATTTGAAGAGAAAGATCAAGACAGTCCAGTGGTCAGCAAAGGTCAAAGTAACAATTATTAGCTATGTTAATTCACATTGTAATACAACATAGGCTTTCGCGGCCGGAGTCACGATTAGAAGAAACGAATCTAAACAACGTGAAAATTGTGTACTATGCAAGCAAGGATTGGAAAGTCAATTATTTGGAGTCCTTGGAAATTCATAAGCATAAGTATTGCTGTATAACCTACTAAATTACCCAATTGAAGTGGTCTAATAGCCAGTTTTCTGTACTCACATTGTCACAGGTAAACAAAATTCAGATACTCAGTTGAGTTAAGGACCGTCAGTTATTACCTAACAACTATAGTAACATTTTTGCAGCAGCAATTGCTTTACTCTACCATGAAACACTTTATCAGAGGTAAATTGTTTGATCTGCTCTGGTAATTTATTATACAGATTTATGGCATTATACAAAGGGGACTTTTTATATTTCATTGACTTATGACTTGGAATACGCAAAACATCACCATGACGTGTGTTGTAACTGTGCACCGTTGTTAATTATTTCACTTAATTGTATTCGTTTGAAAATGTTCTTATAGGACAAAACTGCAGTAACATTAGTTACGAATACAAATGGTATAAAAACATAGGAAGTTTCATTTCTCATTTTTCAAAAAGTCTTGATATAAACGTGGGGGTTCCCCAAGGTTCATTATATAAATGAAATTGACAATTTCTAAAACAAAGCAGATGATGTTATAACAAAAGTGAGAAAAATTATTGGGAAACTTTTCTTAATAGGTACTGAAAAAAATAACACTGTTGTCCACAAAAAATTAAGTTGAAATGATAAAGCAGTTGTTTAGGCATCACAAAAAACTGGAAACTTCATTGTAATAATCTGCTTGCAAAGTGCAAATTTGAAATTACCACTATTAGGTTTGTTTGTTCATAGTATGTACACATGAAAAATAAACTTCTTCTAGATTTCCAAGTTCTTCAATCTCTAAAGAGTGCTCGTTATTATTGGCCACTTGAATAAGAAACACCAAGGAAATATAACAATTTATTAACATTATATTGTTTAATTACAACAAACTCTTCACTTTTCTTTTCTCTTAACAAGACCTTTCACACCTTTTTTGGCTTTGGCCACTTTTTCTTTTAGAGCAGCTATATCTATACTAGTTTTAGTATTAGTACTAGCCTTTGAAGTATTAGGCTCCTCAGGAGGTACGAATGCCTGATTCCTTCTCTCTTCCCTCTTCTTGGCAGCTTCAGCATGCTTTTCATCTTTTTCTTTCCGCTGTTTAGCTTGTTTTTGTGTTTTACTGAGAAAGTATTCCCCACTAGCAAGTTCCTTATCGATTTTGCTCTCTTGTTGAGGAGGTGGAAAGGGTGTGTATGGTTTCTTCTCCTTCTTGTTCTTTGGTTGTTTCCGTTTGCTGATATTTTTATTGACAAACTTGGGAAGGAATCTCTCCCAGTTTTCATTTTTCATTTTTGGATCTTTTGCTAATTCTTTTTTGATCATCAAAGCTTTTATGTTATAAATTGGGTGGACATTTTTCATGGTATCTTCTACTATTTTTCTGACTTGTTGCAATCCTTTGTATGGGCCCAAGGCAGACACAGTTTGGCCCTGCACGAGAACATAACAATTGGTTAACAGTTCTATAGATTTCAAAGTACAACCATTGGGGCCAATAAGCCTTTGCCTTCGTTTAACAAATTTTTCCTTATTGCGGGTGATTTTTCCTATCTTGATTATATCACAACCAACTTCATCTTCCAACACACGTTTAGCTTGCTCAAAAGGAACACTACGTGACATCAATTTTATCATATCCCTAGCTTTTATGATGATGTAAGGATCCCAAGTTTTTCGTGTCGTTCGAACAGTCATGCTTCCTTCCACCACGTCTAGTTCAGCTTTGATGAAATGTTCCGAGAGTGTTTTCTGAACTAAAGGCCAAATTTGCCTCAAGTATTGTTCTCTGTATTGGGGAAAAAGAGTGGCAAAACAGCTTTCTTCTAACAAGCCATGTGGGTTATCTTCTGGTTTGAACTCAGGAATTTTCAATTCCCAAGCATTGTCAACTGGGCCGGACACAGTTTCACTTTCATCTTCAGAGTTAGGCATTATTGAAAATTGTTTAAAAAAAATGAAAATACACCTTCACAACTGAATAATCCTAAATTTGTGGCTTGATTGCCTCAACCTCAAGTATCAATTGTTTACTAAAATCTAACCTCAAGTAAATGGCTGTTGACAATATATATTCTTCTTCTTCAGTTCTAAGATTAAAATATTGTTTATCGATCCATTTACCCTTGGAACATATATGTATATTACGCCAAAAATTAATTGATTTTACTTTGAGAATGAAACATATTGAATTTCTTTATAATATGAAACTGAGAATGCCAAACTTCTAGAACTATCGTGAAATGGAACACCAACCCGTACCTGTCAATTTTCAAAAATTATTGTTTCATCGCTTTCTGAGGTTTGTTTGTTATTATTAATCGGAAAAAGAAAGTTTGAAGGTGAAAGTGAATTTTTTTGTAACTACGGCTAGTTCATCATACTTGAAGCACAGATACAAAGGAACACAGAGGTAAACTCTGTGCCTGAAGTTTAATGTGATTTTTTTCCGATATGGATACAAAAAAACGCAGCTGATGATGAGTTATGTGCCGAACGAACATTTGCAGAGGGTGTGTTTTTTTACTAATCTCATTCCATATTGAGTCATTTTCGTCTAATGAACAATTATTCACTCCATTTCAGTTCCTTAATTTCATAATTTGAGAAGAAAAAAAAATCTATTTTTATTAGGTTCATCAGGTTCAGTCACAGAAATCACAAAATACAAGAAAGAGACATTCATGTGGCAGCACTTCGATTTTAAGGGTCAGGTTTCTGTGACCTATATTTTGTGTTGGCGGTGTTTAAAGTCACTTTTCGTGGTAAATTCTAATTATTCGAAATTTATCGCATATACAATTTGATTTCGATTGAGTTATCATCACAATGTCATCTCGGCAGGTTATTAGGCCAATGTTTTAATGAAACTAGCTTGATTGCATCACGTTTACTCACAACTCGACACATTTTTTTAGTTGATAATAACCACCTTCAAGATTGTCGTCTTTCAAAAAAGTTTTATGCTCTTTTGCTAGTTATTCTGTAGTTATGTGGTCAGATAACAGATGATTTTGTCAAGTAGCGGTTTTGTGATGCTGACTTATTCGAATTGTAATACACAAATTTGCTGGGAAAGAAAGTTTTTGGCTTTCTACCACTCCATCTGATACAAAAAAATGGATGAGAGAATCTTCCAAAGAAAGGAAGGAAGTAATCAATTTGAAAATAAGTAACTCTATACATGGATGTGTAGATCATGCAAAGAAGTAACATTCAGACACAAACTGAAAGAAAGTCCTCCTGATTCTCTCATCCATTTTTTTGTATCAGATGGAGTAGTAGAAAGCCAAAAACTTTCTTTCCCAAAAATTAATCACTCCTAAAAATATATCCCTTTCAAATCACAAATTTGCTATTTAACATTTGCGGTATGAAAAAGTCAGTGTTAATTTCCTGCGTTATGTTTCAGAGATCCGTCTTCAAAAGTAAGCGGCACATCTATCTATCCTATTTTCGGCAATGTAATTTTTATTATATTTTAAATTGCCTTTTTCTATCAAATGTTACTTTGTCCCGCATACATTTTTTTCTAAAATGAACAACACTGATTTACTGTCTCTGTTCGACATATTTTGATCGAGAAGAGGAAGAGTATATTGCTTTTGGAAGGTATACCTGTTTCAGAATAAGAAGATGTGAAAAAAGCGCTCCTAGCAAAATAACTTTTGACATTGACATTAGTCAAGTAAATTTCTATCCTAACCTGAAAGGCCCACTGGCTTAAAATTTTTGAATAAAGATGTAATTCTAATTCCACTTGTAATATATCGGAGGTAGTTTTTTAACGAAAACTTATCAAAAAAATAGTATAATAATGTCTTGACTACCATTTTGAAAAATCGGCCCCAAAATGTCAAGACCAGACAATTTATGTAACCAGTCACTCATAGAAGCCGGGGAGCGGGCCCTAGATAGAACGATAGGAGAACCAGGCGATGTTAAAACCCAATTTGTCACCAGAGAAGGAACATACAGGCTCATGACATTAAGTGAGTATTCCAGACCAAATCGAGTGGGATACCAGCCTCAGGGTCAGACGCCCCCACAAGTTAGGGTTTCCTTAGTGACTTTACCCGACCAGGGAGAAAGGATTTGTTTCAATCACGGCAGGGAACTATACGTTTATATTTACAAAGGTATTAAGAAGGCTGCAGACTTGAGTAAACCCTTAGAGAAAAAAGTGTATAAGGGTACGAATCCAACTTGCCATGACTTTAACGCAGCGTCTGCGACGGCAGACAGCATTTGCTTGTTAATCGGCTTCAGTACCGGTCAAATACAACTCATAGACCCTGTGAAGAAAGAACTTAGCAAATTATTCAATGAGGAGAGGTTGATCGATAAGACTAGAGTGACATGCTTACGGTGGGTGCCCGGCAGCAAAAACTCGTTTATAGCTGCTCATGCTTCTGGACAGTTTTATGTTTATAACGAAGAGTTACCTTGTGGTACAACAGCTCCGCACTACCAGCCGTTCAAAGCTGGCGAAGGATTTTCCGTGAATACCTGCAAAACCAAATCAACAAGAAATCCTTTATTTCGTTGGTTGTTGGGTAACGGGGCTGCAATTAATGAGTTAGCCTTCAGCCCTAATGGATCTCAGTTGGCTGTGGTTTCTCAGGACGGTTCACTTAGAATATTTCAGTATGACAGTATGGAACTCTTGGGGCATGCCCGGTCATACTTCGGGGGTCTGTTGTGTGTAGCTTGGTCAAGTGATGGAAAAATGATTGCAGTAGGTGGTGAAGATGACTTAGTGACAGTGTATTCTATGGAGCAGAAACGGGTAGTGGCTAGAGCACAAGGCCACCGTTCATGGGTAGCTGCAGTAGCTTTCGACTGGTTTTTAGAGGTGGAGTCTTGTTACAGAATCGGCTCAGTAGGACATGACACTCAGATTTGTCTGTGGGAGTTGCCTGAAGACAATCTCATACCCCCTAGACCTAGAGTCAAGAGAAGGCCGGATCCTCTGCAGCTTGTAGGAACGCCAGCTTGTCCCAGACTGGAGGAGTGTCCGATTCTTGAACCGTTAGTGTGTAAAAAAATCGCTCACGAACGTTTGACTTCACTAGTTTTTAGACCTGATTGTATTATAACAGCCTGCCAAGATGGTTATGTTTACACTTGGGCTCGCCCTCATACGTAGTAGAATTGAATTAGTATTTTTGTAAGAAAACCATTTTTTGTATCATATTTTTTGTACAGCTGGGACCTTTGTGTATATATTTGTATTGTATGTGAAAAAGATTTGTACTATGTTTCATTTAAATTATTTTGTTGTAACTATGTATATCTCCAATTACATTAATTGAGTAATTAATATTTGTAATGTTCTTTCTTATGCCTCAAAAAGAAGATGATATTTCCACATGTCTTCAACACCTGTGAATTGTAGTATAGAACTCGAGAAGCAGGCCCTATGACTGTTGTGCATTTCCTTTACTAGTGAGATACATTTTTCATAAAGTATTGATGGGTGGAGTCAGTGTGGGGTTATGACTTCCATGAAAAGTGGAAAAAATCCAAATACGGATTCAAATTCAACTTTGGTCAGATATTTTTCTTGATATTTTTTCCAACTGAATTGAGGTTGCTTCTGCTACATTACGTATTGGAAAATTTAGTGTTTTGACTGATTAACAATACTTGATCTCGTACCGATTTACCTATAATTATAATCCGGTATAATCAAAAAATGAATTTGAAAATCCCTATAAATAACATTTATATATAATTCCTTTACCATAATAAATTCTTGAATAGGATTAACTACATTAAATTATGAGATTATTATGATGAAAGGGAAGTTGAGATCTTCACTCGACAGACACGCCTACTTGGTTCAGAAACACCATTGTATTCCGCAATGATTAGTAATTATTGGAAAACTGTCATGAGGGATTATTCATTTGCAAATACCCAACGGGGTATTCCGATCAAGAAATTGAATGAAACCAGGTATGTAGATCACTTTCATATTAATTTATTGTTTCTGATTACTTCATCAGTGTTGGCATTTTCTCTATTATTTTATATAGTAGCTTCTAAGCACTATTATTATCATTAGTGTATTTGCTTAAATAATAATAATTTCATTAATTAAAATCATGAAAACTGTATCAAGGAGATACATACATACAAGAAAGTAAATATTTCAAAATGAAATACTGAAACAACATATACAGTAGTTACTGGTAAATGCCTGCCGGAAAAATACTTCCCCGGCTAATACCATGTTGGACATTGAATTATATCCTGTGAAGTCAATCACCTTCAAACATCCTGTGAAGTATTTTGCATAAATGTCTGTCGGCAGCGCTTTAGTTCAATTTGAATTCATAGAGAAAAAATTGGCCAAAAATAGCTTGACGACATCATATAATAAGCTGAAAAGAGGCAAAAAAATTGAAATTTGGAAAAAATGTACAGCATCAATGTATAAAGTACAAAATGGCATCTTCAACAATCAGTATATATCATGACACAGCAGAATGAATATTTATTGACATATGGAGCTACAAAAACACAAGATATTAAAACGAAATAAATTTTTGTAACAACCTAATATTCACCAAGCTTAATAATTATTTCACAAAAAGTCTTTATTTTTTTTTACTTCTCAATAAAAAAAAATCAATAAATTTGAATTCATTGTTTTTTTATTAATTAGAATATTTATTCCTCATTATCAACATTATTATTACTTCCACTAGTGAATGTTTTTATAAAACATTTTTATATGTGCAAGTTTGGATATGTGTATATGAGCATTTACTTAACTTTTATATAAACATTACATATTACTATTCTTTAACTGTTGTGTGAGATGCCATTTATATGCTTTATATCACCAATTGTTATTATTATTAACGTGATTTATATAGTCGAAGGTTTTCTATGAATTTAGGAAAATTATACAGGACAAATAAACCGTTACCATAAATGGAAGTTTATAAAACATCTAGGTAACCATTTAGTCATTGTTATTTCAAATATTTTTGATACGAGATTTTGGTACAAACTGAAACAACCCTATATTTTTGAATAATATTTTGAAAAAATCAATTGGGTAAAAAAATACAGAGTGTTTTATTATAAAAAGTATGTTTATTGAACATGAAATATATTGCTGGTTTTTTTTGGTTATATTTGAAATGGATTCCATTACTCTCTTCATCATTTATTTGAGATATTTGGGGTGTACACAAAATGCGTGTACCCAAGCATTGTATGTACACCCTGTAAATCATAGAGATCACTGGTTTAGGAAACCCCAATTAATCGAATCAAAAACGTATGGGGATAGTAATAAAAATTCATCAAATTTTAAAATGTATTAAAAATATCAAATATTGCAAGTATTTTTGATAAAATCATTCATGTCACAAAACTGATAAAATTTGCAAATTATGCTAGAATACGTTGACATCCATCAGAAATGGGAAGAGTCAGCCTCTGAAAGCGTCAATAAGGCTTCGTACAAGGGTTCAGGCTCTGGGAATCGATCCACCCAAGACTGCAACAACCCACTCACCGAACTTTCATAAGTTTTCAGCCGAACTTCTTGACCTTCTAAAAATGTGTTAGCCTGAACGAACATTTTTCTGGGCTGTTTGTTGGCTAAAACGATGGATCTCCAACTGGCCCACGGTTCGTTCACTTCCGCATAGTGGTCATAGAGTGCCTTAGCTTTTTCTACGTCGCCTGTTGCTTTGTATACCTGACAAAAACATTTATTATTCATTATCCAATAAAACATAAATGATAAGTTACTTGGAATTATTACGTATAAGATCAAACAAAGGGCTGGAAATCGAAAAGTGCGAAATGGGTTCTATGACTAGTGACAAATGTCCTATTTCGAATAGCCCTTTGTTTGGTCTTATACATAATAATTCTAAATAACATAAATATTAGAGATAATCACTAATATAGAGGAAATCAAATCAGAGGTATTTAAAAAAAAGGTAGTTTAGCATAGGATTAATAACAGGTAGTAGTTAGGTAATACTAACCAGTGTAATATTAACAGGTAGTAGATAGTAATATCAACTATATAGAAAGTATAACAAGTCAACCCGTATTTTCTGTGAATACAATTCTGTTCTCATAATAAGCGAGAAAAAATATCTGTTTGTGATGGTATTATAAAAATGTCTGAAGTGTTTCTTTCTTAATATATCAAGAAATATTGATGGTTATTTTAATAATGGTCTGTTAAGTTTTTTATTCATTATAATATTCTCAAAAATACTTTCCTGCTTTTTTTGTTCTTTTTCAATTGAACAAACAAGATCTTGTGCTCTTTTTTTATGTAAAAGTCACAGTTCTCATAAAATTCGGCTCTAAATTCATAGTGTAGATGATTATGTATTTTTTCAACTTTAACAAATGTTAAATAAAGTATTATGTAGTAACTCAAATAAGTCAAATCTTTAAAATCCGGGAAAAATTTGTTTCCGAAAATTCTTCTGGTTAACAGGATGTCTTATTGAACTGTTCTTTAACTTGAGCCACCTTGTTAACTAGAATAATGGTTCAAAACCAACCAATAAATATTTTTTGGGTATACTATTTGGATTTCGGTTAACTGAAAAGAATACAACACCCTGTAGATATGAAATTCAATTCCGATTGTAGCAGTATCTTTTGTCGAGTTAAAAACTTTCTTTTCATCAAATTTCTTTTTCAAGATTTAGCATGCATGGCTAGAGAAACATCAGGAAGAAATTTCATAATACCATGGCTACGAAGTTCAATAAGGCTAATAACTCATTTTATAATATCTCTTGACAGTTCCTAAATATTACAATTTTTATATGACACATGAATGCCGAATATACAAAAGTGATTACTTCTATGATAAAAGCAAGAGACATAGCAATATAAGCCAGCTAGTTCCAATTTAATCAGCAGATGCATCTAATAGTCATGATTGATCTATACTTTTATAGAAAGGTTTATATTATTTTAGTAACCGTCGAGTATCCTTGAGTCTATAATAATAATAACAACAATACAACATATATAATTTTTTGCAAGTGCGGATGAAAACATTCAAGCCTAAAATTTTCTCAAGATAATTATTACCAATATCAATACTTTTTTTACCTGCAACTTTAGAAGGAAGTCTCCAAGTGCCTTTTTTCCAGTTTCGTTAATCGCCGAACGATCCACAGTCACCAATAAGTCGTTTTCCTTTGGCTGTGTGACTGAAGCTACTCCAGCCTCAATAAGTACTTTAGCTATCACAAAACGAGCCTGTTGAAAAAATATTAGTCATGAAGTGGTTACAAGCTATAGGTAAACCATTAATATAAGTGAGAATATTGTGAAGATAACTTGTCTTTTGAAAAGGTAAAACAAACCTGCGCATGTGCCTGTAGCCAACCTCTACCGGGCTCCCACAGCTCCAAACCCCTTCCCGCACCTGCCCATATCAGCGACAACCAATTGACGTATGCCACTTCTTCAGCCTGTTCTCCTTCGTGTCCGAAAATTTTGCGTACATTCGGGTCCAAGCTGAGGTACAACCCAACAGCTTCGGCTCTGCACTCTTCATAGGACGAGCTAAGGGGGCCGAATTTTGTGTCATACGTATCTCCGGACTCGTAATAAGATGAAGGTGGTTTCCCGGTTAGAGGATCCACTAGGGTGGAGGGAAAATTGAAGGAGCCGTCTGGTTTCTTCATGAGAAGTTTTCCGGATCCGTGACCTAGTAGTTCATGGAGACCTACCTGAAAATAATTATTATTGAGGATATGATTTACCAAAATGAAGATGTAGGATTATAATTCAAATATTTGAATCAGTTTTTCTGGCTTGCGCTGATTTTGAAAAAAAATCTATTATGAATCTGAAGTCAAAACTTGACTCCTTCAGAGATATGACCGCTATTTGATAATCGATAATATTATTCAACATACTCAGAAACAATTCACACAACTGTTGATTGCAAATTATTTGATATAATTGTGAAGTAACCTAACCTAGCTAAAGTTAGGTTCAATTAGAACTTGAAAAACATGTATTTATTATTATTATATATTTAACAAATTTGCAATAAGTAGTCATTGTAACACTGCCAAAAGAATCTACAAAAGTCCCTTGCAATAGTGTCATTTAGTTTCATAAACAACTGTGTTTGTCTTTTTCTTTATCTCTCCTAAAAATATACCTCTTTCAATTTAAACACTTTGCTGGAAAATATATGTGGCATATGAATAACGGTTCATGGAAAAAGATAGTGAAAGGAAGGTGTAATCTCATGAGTTTTTATTAACAGATGTGCATTCCCAAAATAGTCAAATTTTTGACATTTGAATGGTCATAATTCCAAATGTGGAACAAAACGCTATGTTTTGACTTCAGATTCGAGATCATCAGATAAAAATATGTGAGCCCATTAAAAATGAATGCAAGGCGTATAGCAAGCAACTTTCCTGACTCACCTGTAATTCGAAAGCAGGAACACGCCATTTTTGTAAGAGATCAGCATCTTCTTTACTCAGAAACGGAGTGACTGCAAACTGATAACTGGCTGGTATTACGTTTCCTAGAGAAACGTTTTTGAATCCTTCAGTTTGACGAATATCATCATCTAAAAAGTAATATTGATTGAAGGTGATAAGCCATTCACAAATGACTTCTGATTGATGGTTTATGCATTCAAAAATATTATTCAAAATCCTTTTAGCTGTCAATTGCTTCTAACAAACAACCTCAGTATTATAAAAGCAGACTGAATGTTTACATCATTTCAGGAGACATTTTTTTGAAGCAAAGATTTCTTGTTTATGAATAGTGTCTTGATTGATTTTAGTCAAGAATTCACCTCAGAACTTCACAGTAACTTGGAAATAATCTGGACAATCAAAATTTTTGCATGAAAATGATTGAAAAGTACTTTTTCCCAACAAAACATCTCAAAGAAGGATAGAAAACCTATGATTACAAAGACACCAATTCAGTTTATGAAATGTATACATAAATTTATATTTTTTATGAGCAATATATATTGGACCACTACAGCGTTTCGACTGGTAACTCCCTATTTCCCCAACAGTAGACTGTATGTTCTTTGCAGGATTATATAAGTCTGATGGTATCATATTCTTCTGAAATCAAATTACATGAAATCAAACTTACAGTTAGGTATGTTGATACCTGCCGGTATGCCACTACCAGCAAAAGTAAGGACATCTAAGGAGGTGAAATCTGGTTTTAAAAAAGTGTCTTTTTCAAACCCTTCGCCCCAAGGTAACAAAGTCAAAAATTTTTCAGCTTTAGCAACCAAGTCAGCAAACTTCAGAGACATTTCTCTATTAACCGCTGCTACAAAACCCTCGAATTCCCCTCTCACCCCCGCGGGATCCCTAAAACAAATAAAGTTAAGAAATATCAGTCAAAGGTATTGAGTCAAAAATATAACCTATAAGTTTCAATGAAACCAATATATGTTTCAATCGCAGGTCCTTTATCTTGAATCCAGTATCTTGAACCGGTCTTGTGGTCATCTAACGATCCACTTCTGAATGAACGAGCATAAGATTCCAGCATATTCTGTTGAGTTTCATTCGCAGCATGCTCCACAGCAGCTTCTAATGAGTCAGCAACTTTTCCCATAAGTGGAGAATAGTCACCAGAAGTGACTATGTAAGTTACGTTACCTTCAGTGTGGGTTTTCAACGTATTTTTAACTTCTCCAGCTAATCTTATATGATAGCATATCTATAAAATAATATGTCAAAATTCAATCATCTCAAGTCACTATACCGACCTTATCATTTTCCACAGTTTTGAACAACCTAGTATTGTAGCATTCCATTTTTTCAGATTTCATCCAATTTTGTACTGCTTCGTTATCTTCAGGTGTACAGTTTTTCGACAAGTATGTGGTACACCCTTCTGGGGTGTATCCAAGGCACGTTTTACCTGGACTCAAGTCATAAAGAGCGTCTTTTAGGGATTTCCATAATGGTTCAAGTTTTTCCCAGTTCGGGCTCAATTTGAGGAGCTCCTCCAAACGATTTTGTTCGATGTTTGGGATGAATTTGGTGTCACCAAAGCCCTGAAATGTTGATGTTTCTAAAAAATCTCGAATACATTTGGAAGGGAAAGTAATGTTGAATTAGCTGCGTGGAGTTCTTTCAATAGAATTGTTTCGTAGTTTTCAAGGAACAAGAAAGTAGAAAATTACGAAACACTTGAAAACTACTGCATAATGGGATGTCGCATGTCTTTCAAAATTCATTTCTTGCACTCCTATTTGAATTTTTTCCCAGAAAATTTGGGTGCTGTCAGTGACGACCAAGGGGAAAGGTTCCACCAAGACACAACACCAAGTGACACCAAGACATACTGACAATGGAGCAATGTTACCAAGGCAGATGGGATGCAGCAACGATGGGGGATTATTGTTGGTTTCTTATGAGGGAAACGATGAAACATATAAACGAAAGTCAACATTTGCAAAAAGGTTATGTACAAAAGACTTCATTTGAATGTTTTTTCATGTGTATTGTAAATAAAGTCTGTTATCCTCAAAATATATTGTTTTTTTCTTGTTTTGATCTTATATTTCCCTATAATATGTGAAAATTTTTGTATAAAATAAAAATAACTATAACTTAAAATCTTTACGGGATGGAAAACTTTTGATGATGAAGTCGCAGTCAGGATGCTTTAAACTCTCATGTATAGCCATTATAATATTAATCACATTATTTTTCTTATTTGTTGGCTAGTGTTATTTGATGTCTGCATATACTATAAACTATTTATGTATAGGCACTGAAGTTACGTGTCGTTATTACAATTTATGGTTTTATTGCAGATTTGCTTGCAGCTGATGTTACGAATGATACATTGGCCCATTGTCGATATTGCCATGTAATATAAAAGCTATCAAAAAAGATTTAGTTAGTCTAGTCATTCCAAGACTGAAAAACATCACCCACAACATGGAAAAAAATCTGCGAAAGGAACTAATCTTATAACTGAAACCTATAAACCAGCCTTGACGAAAAACAAAATCATTGAGTTTAAAACAGCTGCGTTTGTCGACGAGCACTGTTCTATGTTAATAGTAGATCATTTGATTACTATACTTTTTCAGTTGTATCCTTCGTCAGATGCTTTGAAGAACCTGAAAATTTATCGCACCAAGTGTTTGATGTTAATAAAAAAACAGCCCATCAATGTATGAAGCTTCAATTGGAGAGATAGAAGATTTTTTGTATTCGATTATTATCAATGAAATTAGTGATCTATAAAGACAAAAAAGGTGTACATCATCTACCTACACATCTTTCCACAGAGTTAATTTTTGAAATTGATTGCTTCTTTTCTTTCTTTGGAAGATTCCCACATTTTTGTATCAAAACTGAGAAGTAGAAAGCCAAAACCTTTCTTTCCTAAAAATATATCTGAAATTTACTTACTGCTATTTTTGACACAGCAGTTAGATTTATTTTTAGAGCGAATTGAATAAATGTGTAGGAACAACAAGTTAGGAATTTTTATTTGGGATAAAAATCTATATTTGTAGGTAGTTGCATATTTATCAAAAGTATAACCACTACCAGTAACCTTTCTACAGTAGTTCCTACCATTATTACCATTAATATCAATTCAACATTAAGCAAAGTCTTTGAAATTCAGATTTGACATTACTTTCAAAAGGTCTAGCATGTCTTCAGCCACTATAACCATTGGAGGCAACCACCAGCCTTAGGCCATTACCATTTTACTAACCACACATATTACCACATATATAAAAAAAAGACATGTAACAAACACAAGATTTGACAAAAATATTTCACATTGAGATGCAACAAATACATAACACTTTAAAATCACAGTTAAAAGAAGATTGAATTTTATTAAAAAAAGCTTCCAGTTCTTTTTTAAATGAATTAAGATAATTATTGTTTTACGCAATTTACTCAAGAATTATTTTTGGTCCCAAGTAACTTGGTGAATTACTCTTTCAGAATTACCTCTACATTTGAGGCGAGAGAAGGGAATATAGAAGTTATTTCTGTCTGGTATATAATATTATGATGATGATATTAACTAATATTGAACTCATTTTTGCTCTTGAAAACAAATAGAGAAATTTAAAAAATGAAAAGTCTAGAAAGTGTCAGAATGCTAAAATCTTTACAGTTCTTTACAAGAATATGAGTTAGGTTTTCCTGCAATATGGTCTGAAATGGGTTTTTAAGCAATGAAGACTTTTGAGGACAAAACAGAGTTTCTCTTTAAGCAAATGCTACACCTCAACAATGATCCAAACTTTCACTTACTACAGCATCGTTGATTCTGAAGCAGGTTGGATCTAATATTCTAAAATATATAAGCTTAGGATGATTTGAGTTATTCGCAATGTTCTTTATGTAACTGTCCAGTTGATACAAAAAGAGCTATATCTGCTTGACACAATGACAAATAATTAATAGAGTAATCTATATCTCACCTTATAATTTCCGGCATTACAGAATATTCCGCAAGCATAAACAAACAGTGCTTGGATTTCATCTTCGGTGAAACCAGCAGCCAAAGCACCAGTTTTGAATTTTTCCGGATTTTCTGCAGAAAATAGCTTATGAAGAAAAACAAAGGCAGGTCCAGACTCGGGGCTCGTCTGTAAAAGAGTAATTAATCCCCCTATCCAAGAAGCTCTGCTGATGTGGTGGGCGTATAACTTTTCTTTTTGAGTTAGGCCTTCGAATACCGATTTAAATTCTAGAGATACTACTGGCTGCTCATTGTGGAGAATATATTGGTTTTTGTCTACCACAGATTCCATTTTATCTGCAAGAGGTGTGTGAAACTCTTTAAAAATTCTGACTACAACACGGGATAACTTACCACAAATATTTAACAAATAAATAACGATAACAGATAACCATGAAAATGCACTTCTGAGAATAGGTTAGATTTGTGATTCGTTGTGGCATAAATGCATCGAACCAGTGACGTTTTACCTACCAGTGATGTCACAATACGGATTCGAAATGAAGAGAGAACACTGACTCCAACCACTAAAAAGGGATGGAGAGATCCACGTTTTGGGATTACGTCATTTATACACTTGAACGTCAGATTCGACGTCAAGATGTTTTTTGCGTTGCATACTTTCATTGTGAAAATTTTGGAATTTTGATATATTTGTAAAGAAGTTTTGTTCGTGCTCCTCTGTATTTTTTTGGTTATTTGATTGTGGTGATTTTTCAATTATTAGTTATACGGATTGTTCCGGTAGCGTTTTGAATGAACTTGCATTTAAAGTGTAAGTCACCCATATTAATGATGACGTAGTCACAAAAGCGCATCCATTTGGTACAATGACGTCATTTCCAAAACTTTGTTGAACCACAGTAGAATGTATGTAAAAGGGACGACCGGTCCACCAGTCCATATTGTCACGTCAATGTCTGTGGCATCTACATCATAGATATACATACCACTTGACACAAGTTGGACTGGCTAATGCGCGTTCTTAGCTACATCACGTTTGGTGTATGGTTACCAATGGCGACTGGCGTTATTTTCTTTCCGGCATGATTTACAACATAATTATAAAGACTAATGCAGAATTTTATTTAATTGAAATTGTTGAATTACTGATTGGCTTTTTGAACTGCAGAATATCAGTCGCATTTAGATTGGGGGGATTTATTATTTCTTTAACGTTTTTTTTCTGTTTTCTGATGCTCGGCTGAGCTTTTGTATGGCAATTCGCCAGAAACAGAAAACATATTTCGATCAGGTTGGGGGGTAAGGAGTAAAAACCGCTTTACTTTTAAAAATTTAATGATGATAACTTAAAGAATACCATAATAATCATAATAATAAATAAGTACGCACAACGTTTCTAATATATAAATACGAATTATTCTTAGGTAAAGCTAAATCACTTTTATTCTCAACATTTCGAGATGAAAATCCACTAAACAAAAACAAATCAATTTTTGTAGTTTTCTGTTGATATTCATTCTGTTATCTCAAATAAAAAGTATCTACTTTAAAATATATGGCAAGTTAATATTTCGAATAGTTTCTTAACACAGAGTATTTGTAGGAAATGAGCACAGTCCAGTAAAGATAAATATCCTATTTATTCGCAGTAAACACATTCTATTCTTGTAGCAAATAATTTTTTTTTACTGGCTAATGAAGAATTCATTTTCGAGCAGTGTCAAATCATTTCTTCCTTAATACATTCATATTACAAAATATTATTTTCTCTCTATATAACTGCCAAGAATATTAGTGTGATGAGTGCAGTTGATTGTAGTAATTTTTCACTCGAGTTCTAGTTGATAATAGTGAATAGATATCTCATTTATCCATTCAGAGAAGTTGTAAAGTTTGAATAAAAAACACTTATTTACTGGGAGAGGTGAAAAATATGGAGTGTTTTAGAGTTTTTTCTGTAAATATAAGAACGAGAAGGCTAGATATTATTTAAAGTGAATTGAATAATCAGTGGAAAGAAAAAACAACACAGGGCTATTTAAGTGTAATTTCGAATCTTCCAACTAAGAATTCGATAAAAATGTTATCTTTTATAGATATCTATCAATATAAGAGAAATGAAGTTAATAACATAAAAAGTAAAATAGGTAGTTTATAGCTGAAGAAGTTTGTAAAGCCTGCACATAAATAAAAAATATAAACCAAAAAAGGTTGTTTTAAGAAACAAAGTATCTTATCTCAGAAACTAATTTAAAAAAATCCCTTTAACAATAAAATATGAGAAAATTATGCACACAAGTGATTATTTCAAACGAAATAAAATCATCTGTTTCTAAACAATAACAAAATATTATTACCAAGATATAGAATATAACCAAACATACAATAGTAGTATTTGAAAATCTACAAAAGAAAAATACTCTAGTATTAGATGTTTTCACTCTTTTAGATGAATAATAATACATGTGGCATAAATACATATTTTTGTAACATTGTACATAAAAGTAATACTCTGAATTAAGAAAAACACCTAAAAATCCTTAGTCGTTCAGTTGGACCAATGATTCAACTCTGTATTCGTTTCCAATAAGATAACCATTATTTGACAATAACAAATATAGACCGCATTTCAGGGAGTAGGTAGTAGCAAAAAAGTTATAAATATAAACATATTTTGTCCCAAATAACTGATTTTTAACAAAATTCATTTTGTCCCAATTTTTTAGGGGGTTATTATAAAAAACGTCTTTATATCACAAAAAAACAGTCAATCAATTGCTGTTAATTAAAACTTTGTTGGCTATTAATGGATTGATGTTGAATAAACAGTTACTTGGGATCATTTTTTCCGGGTTCTCAAGAGAGATTCTTATTTAATTTTTTTTAATTATTCAATTGTGTATCTTGAATACTTACTAAATAAACCTTCCCAGATGTTAAATTTTGCGATGTGTAAGTACAAGAATATGAAAAAANCGTGAGATGATTAGCTTATAACCCGTTGATAACGTCATATATTTTGTTTTGGAGGTGTTGAGTTTTAGTTTATTGCTATTCATGTACTTGAAAATATTTCTTAGTTCATTATTCATTTGATCAGCTACTGTTTCTATATTATCTCCTGAAATTGATAACAAAGTGTCGTCTGCAAAAAGGTTCATGGAATCCCAACCATGAATGGTATCTATATCATTCACGAAGATTAAAAATAATATAGGTACCAAAACACTCCCCTGAGGTACCCCGAAAATGACATCGTGAGATGATGACACTGAATCCTTTATGTTAGTTACTTGTTTGCGTTATGATAAATAGTCAGTCAGCCATAAGAAAACAGTTTCCCTGATACCAATACTTTGCAGTTTATTTAGTAATATGTGGCGCTCAATTGTCTCAAAAGCTCTTTCAAGATTAAAAATACGGCTATAATATAATGTATAATATAATGCCGACTCACATGAATGGTGTTTTCTGAAACCTGACTGAAATTTTAGTAAAATATCATTATTTTCTAGACATTCAGTGAGTTGATTATAAACTGCGAGTTCTAATATTTTTTCAATACAAGGAAAAGTGTTTTCCTAACCTGTTTACCTTTGAACCGGACAAGATATCAAGGTGGGACACAATTTACATAAAAAAGTGATATATTTGATACTTTGAAATAGGAAAGACAATAGTACTGCATTACATGTCACTGAGAGGGAGATACCTAATTTTTTCAAACAGAAATGAGGTTTTAATAATACCTCGTTTGTTTCAATTCACTTATATTCTCTGTCCAACCACCGGCACCGTTTAGAAATAATCCATGATAATAATAATACAATTTTCACAATAAATTTTATATAAGAGGCGTTTCGCAACACGGTAGCTTCATCACTTGGAATGGTTCATTACGTTAACCTTCTTCAGCGGAATGGTTACTCCAGAGTGATGGTGGAACATACTTTGGCTAGAAGATAGAAAGAGCCTCACAAGGAAGAGAAGCCGTCGCAACCAGTGCTTGTACTTCCCTATGCCAGAACCTGCTTCAGATCCGGAAATACCCTCCGTAGCCACCAAACGCGGACTGCGATTCCAAGAATTGCATTTACCGGATACCCTGTAAGTGCGGCAAATCCTATATCGGTGAAATAAAGAGGCCATTAAAGTTCGCATTGCCGAGCACAAGAAAAACACACATCGAGGAGAAACCAGAAAATCGGGAATAGCAGAGCACGTTTGGACTCATCAACATAACATCAAGTGGTCCCAAGCTGAGATCATCCACAGGAAGGAACACTGGCCTAAGATGAAGTTCAAAGAAGCGGCATATATGTTGTTCAACGACGCATTCTACGCTAGCGTAGAAATACGCAACGTATGGAAACCTGTAATGAAGCAGAAAACGCCAACTCCCGCCAAACGGTTAACGATTGTGGATACTAACAATCGAAACGTCGTGAAGTAACTTGATTTGAAATCTTTTTTAATCTTTATGAATTGATTTTAAATTTTTTGCTTATTTTTATTTTTGTTGTTTTGTATTTATTTTTACTCTGTAGTAATTTTCATTTCGTATCTTGATTATTTTATTCGTTGGGTTGGAGTTGGTCGCTATGTGGAGTTGGCGCTGCAAGGCTGCTAGGCGGTTGTTGGACATAAAAGAGACCTCAGACGCAGCGGGGTAGTACGGCAAGGAGGTGTTGAGGGACGACAGACTTTTCGAGTAGATTTCTCCAGTCATTAACGAATCTGTAAGTTGATATTCATTGAGAAACTGTATTTCAAACAAATTAAAGAAGAAATAGGTAGGTTTACTTTTGGTACAATAATAATATTTATTGATTTCTTTAGGACATTCTAATATACATACAT